CCATGTTTTGTGGGTGTCGGTGNCGCGGGGGGGGGCACGGGGAGGCTATTCTGGCCGTCGTGGGTACACTAAAAGGGCGGGTTAGGGTTCGGGGCTACATATGCGGATGGCCGCAGAAGTAGACTCGCTGCCTCGAGGTGGCGGGTCTCGCTTCCACGGTAGGATGAGACGCGCGGGAAGAGGGTACCTCGTTGCGGAGGGCGGAGGGCGCTGGACGGAAGCGTTTTGGGTGCTGGTAAGAGGGTGTGATGTGTGACATGTTGATCCTCGCTGCCATGTTTTGTGGGTGTCGGTGTTTAGCGTTATGGCCATGGGTTTCCGGGTACACGTGGTTCATAATGTGCCGGTTCGTGGGTCTTGGTTATGTGTATGTTGGCGCCGGGTTGACATGAATCGTGTTCGGACGAGACCGTGGCACGGTAGGTCTAGGAGGCTGCTTGTTTTGGGTAGTGCATGAAAAGCGTGGGCATGTTCGACTTTTGTTTCCCAGTTGGGATCGAATGAATTGTACGCGTTGTTGTCGTCGATATTGTGTCTGTATTAAATTGGTTGTGCAGGGTTATTGTTGTACAAATAATCTTGGTTTGCAGCACGCCAGGCGAAACCGCGATGGTCACAAAAAACTCCTTATGGTATCTATCATATAATGTAAGTTTCTTCGCGTGGGTAAAACATTGATCCAGGTTGCAAACCTGAAGGGGACGCACACCCACCCACTAAGAATTGGGGTCTTATCGAGTCCCATCGCCAACACATTCCTGCGCTTGGAGTGGGAATGCGCGGAGACGGCGAAAATTGCAGGGCTCCAAAATGGTGGAACCCAAAGCGTGCCTGAGAGTTACCGCCAACACCCAACGTAGTATTGGATTGCAAGAACAAGTCTTGCAAACTGGCAAACACCAAACATCATGCATGTACGCAGGTTGGAGGCGCAGAAACTCGCCCGTGAACCACAATGGTTTCGGTGTTTTTCAACCATGTTACCCTTGATACTCCTTTGTTGCCGCAAGGCATCCTCTCCATTGTTGTTGCCAACCAAACCCACACGTCTTTGCGGAGGCGCACGTATCCTCCATGGCGATGTTACGAACAATCGAAGACGTTGACTCAACCATGCGCAAAGAAAAAAACTAGCCCCCCCCCCCCGAAACCCCCCCGGTGTTTGCCATCGGGGTTGGGTTTTCGTCGCTTGGCAACGACGTTGTAAAACAAGCC